TTTTTATTTAAAAAAAAATATTAGGTTTTGTAAAAAATTTTGCATTGAAAATAATTTTATTAATTTTTTAACATTATATTTGCTTTTATTTTATAAGTTTGCAGGAATATGATAATTGTTAAATAATTAATTTTGTAAAAAAAACAATTTGTGAAAAGGTTTGAGGTTATTGCTTGAAAAATTTCACAATTTTACCAGAGTTTTTTTCAAAATTTTTTTTTTGCAAAAAAATTATTTCGTAAAAAATGTAATTTTTGTAACAAATTTGGACCGTAGCGAAAAATATTTTTGTGCACAAAAACGTTGGTAAAGATGTACCCGAAAATAATTTTTTAAGACATTTTATTTTTTACTGTATTTTTGCGCTGCGTGCTTAATAACTCCCAAAATTTTAATTATTTTTTTTCCTTACTTGAAAATTTCCTTAAACTAGTTATTGAAATCATTTATACAAGTCTTAATTACCAAACTACAATCCAAAGCTCCAGTCAAAGGTTTTTTGTATTTATAGCAAATAGTGCTATAAAATTGTTTTTTGTTGAAAAACATGCAACACTCGCCTGAAAATCCAATATTTTCCGGCTTTTACACGAATCACGTGTATCAGCCCACACACACACATACATACCGTCTACACAGCACAAATCCACACATCCAATCCAACCCGCTAAGCCCGTTCGCCATTCACCAAGTACGCGCAGTTACCAGCGATAAAGGCAATTTAGCCGCTATTTATTATTATGTAAAGCACTTGCACTACTAGACGTTGGTCGCCACATTAATGGGGACGACAAGTGGCCACTAGCCGCCGCCACCGTGGCATAAACGCCACCGCTGACTTGTTACAATTCTTTTGTTTTACTTATGTGTGTTGCTAAATTTTGCTGTTGGCATTCCGGTGTTGAGGTTATTGCTTGTGTGTTTGTTGTTTTTCTGGTTGTTGTGCGCTTGCTCCTTATTTGATGTAAGCGGCGCTGAATATCAGGTTACACTACTTTTCCAGCCAAGCACTTGCGGTGGTTGTAATTTTTTATCGTTTATTGTTGTTGTAATAAGCCAGCGGCAATTTAGTGTCTGCACTAGTTTTAGCCATTTCTGGTTTGCCGTTAATCGGAGCGGCGCAAGTGTTTGATGGCATTTCACGTTGATGGTGCTTCTTGTTGTTGCTTTTGATAGCGGTGATTGTGCTAACTAAAGGTGACTAAGAGTAGGTTGTACGGTATTCGGCAAAAATGCTGAAATTGCTGCTATTGATTATCTTAAAATGAAAGTTGAGTCAATTTGATTGGTTGATTATGCTAAAGTTGCATATATGGTGTTGCGCTGCTGATTTAATGCTAAGCTTATATGTATGTACAAGTGCGGTGTTATCTGATAAAAATACATTCTACTTATCTAAGCTACTTATTTGCTATGTATAAACTGTGGTTGTCTACTTTTGACAAC